CTATGGGGAGAAAAGGGGGTGAGGAGGAAGCTTAACCAAAATTAGGGATGTATGAAAAAATATTGTTTAGAAACCCACTAGTTTATAAGCTAATTTATATATATATACATATATATGTACATATATGTGTGTGTGTGTGTGTGTGTGTGTGTGTGTGTGTGTGTGTGTGTGTGTGTGTGTATGTGTGTGTGTATCTCCTGCCAGGCAGAGGCAGGTGGAGCTCTGTGAGTTCAAGTCCAGTCTGGTCTACATATGGAGTTCCCGGCCACCTAATGCCAGTTGTGAGACCCTGTCTAAAAAACAAACAGACAAAAGAAGACAGTCCATATTTACTGTGATGGGGGTGGTATCTCATGTATCCCAGAGCTCTTGGCTGGTCCAGCTAGCTAGCTTCCCCAGGAGATGCCATCTCATCTCTGCCTCTTAAGTGCTGAGATTACAGGTGGGCTGTCATACCCTCCTGGCTTTTATGTTTCTGGGAATCTGAACTCTAGTTTTCACATGCAAATGCTTTATCCACTGAGCCATCTCCCCAGTCCCTAGAATTTGTATAACTATATGAAGTTCCTTCAAAACAAACCAGTTATTTCTCTTTTTTTCTCCATTGAGACTACAAAGAGGATCACATGCCCTTCTGGTTCCTTTCTCTGATGTAGAAGTGTCTCTGTGTCTTTATTTCTAGGAGAATTCCACCCTCAGTGAAGCCTAGGTCAGTAAATAGCATCTCCTATATGCATAACAGACTGTGACTTGGTGTAAAAAATACCACTGTTTCTCTTTAGAGGACTATCAGTATACTACAAGAATATGCTTTAAAAAATAAAATAAAATTAGTTAAAAGTTGACATAGCAAACATTGTCTAGGGAACAAAGGTGATTCTCAAAGGCTGTAGAAACCAAACTTCCTGAAGAGTTGAGTGGGCCCAAGCAGGAGGTGCCACTGCAGTTCACTTCATTACTTGAGAAAGATGTGAAGCAGTCACATGTGTTTATTACCATAATAAAAATATACTCATAATATATTTATATGTATCATTTTAAAATAATTCTAATTTTTAATAGAAAAAAAATACATTTTGTTTGGATTTTTTGCTACAGGGTCTTTCTCTTCAGCCCTGGAACTTACTATGTATCCCAGGCTAGCCTGGAACTTTGGAACTTACCATGTATCCCAGGCTAGCCTCAAACTCATGGCAATTGTCCTACCTCAGTCACATGAGTACTAGGATTCAAGGCATGAGCACCCACACCTGGTTAAAAAAATATACTTTTAATTACTAGTATTACCAGATCTTTTTTTAAAAAATCTGAATAGATGAGATATATTATTGTATTATTACTTTGTTTCCTTGATTACATCTCTTCATAAGGATATTTTTCATACCACTTTCTTCATTAAAGGAACTGGTCATCAAAAACAACAACAAAATTCTCATTCTATCCCCATCTCTCAGCCCAGGCTGCTCAACTGTAAAGTGACTATATGCAGAAGCAACACACTGTCCTTTGCTGAGGTCAAGGTTGTGTCATAGTGAAGACTTCAGACTACAGGGGGCTTCACGAAGAACCTGAAATTTCAAAAACTAAGTACAAATTAGCTTTTCCACACTGCTCTTCATGTGCCCATAAGTGACAGTACCTCTGTTTTTAATGACAGTCCACTGTTAAAGAATATCGTTGCAACAGCAATGTACGACACAGTTACCTCTGGCTTCAGTGGTCCTAAAAGAGAGGAATGAGTGACTGTTAGAAGAGCATTCACAGCAGACAACCTAGGATGAAAGAAGACTCTATCAGAGAGCCAAAAATGCTTTTAATCTTTGTGCTGTACCTCACGTTCTGTCTTCCCCACATTAAGCATTTGCTGAGATACAGTTTTACTCCAGAGAGGGTTTTGAGGGTCTTTAAAGGCCATGGCTTTCTAGTTTAGCACATTATCCTCAGACCAGAACAACAGATAAGCAACAGCCTTCAGATATGCTTCCGGCCCAAGTACAGCCATACAGAATCACTACTGATATAACAATCAAAATACCCCAGGATGCAAAGATGAGAACCAGCAGAAGTTCCCTTGTGTAATTTAGCAAATATATTACTTCTGGGATATCATAAAGAAAAGTGTATGTCCATGCACACATTCATTCCTGCCCAACAGCATTTATTGGACCAGCATGTACTGAGAGCATTTATCATAATTATAACGATTGAGTTTGCTAGGCCCTGGGGTCATTGTGGTGAACTAGACAGGCCTGATCCTTGCCCTCTAGAAAATCCTCTCTGTACATGTATTAATGCTATGAGAACCACAAAGCAAACTTTCTATTTAAAGTATCATTTGTGACCTTTATATAAAACCTAGTATTAGCGCTAACCAATAAACCCTCATTTTTCAAAAATATGCAATTCTGTGAAAATGACATTTTATACCTGTACAATTGGTTCTCTAGAAGTAGGCAACTTTGATCCCCCACCCCCACCCCACCCAAATGTTTGGCCATCGTAGGAAATTTTTTGCTTGCCAATTTCTGGTGGTAATGCACACTACTGGCATCCATCCCATAGGGATGGATCAGGAATTCTGCTAGAAATCCCAGGAGGCATAAAACAACACCTCCACCAAATGATCATGCCCAAAATGTCAATAGTGCCCAGGCTGAGAGCCCTGGTATACACATAACTATTCAGTTTTCCTCTATTAGATTGACCAGTATCCCCGAAATTCATGTCTACCCAGAACCTATGAATGAGAAACAGAATCACTGCAGAGGAAATCAAGTTAAGATAACGTCTTACTGCAATAGGGTAGTTACTTATCCAATGACTATGCTTGCTTGCTTGTTTACAGTAGTGCAGATGGAGCTGTCTCACACATGCTAGGCAAGCACTTTACCAATGCGCTACACCTACAGACCCAATGACTACATTCTTACAAGAGGGATATTTATATACAGACACACAGCAAAGACAGGGCCAAAGATTAGAGCTATAGAGCTATAATAACACAAGCTAAGGAATGTCAAGGGTAACTGTAATCACCACAAGCTATAAAAAGCAAGAAAGTCTACTTCCCCAGAACCTTTGGAGAACATCTTGACTTTGGACTTCTGGCTTCCAGAACTGTGAGAAAATAAATTTCAGTCATTCTGATGTATTTCTTAGGCACTTTGTTGCTAGGCTGGTTTGTTTCAAATCAAATAGCAAGACCACAAGCAGGTTTCCCCATCCTCCAAAGCATTCTACCATATCTCCAGATAGTTTTGAGAAATGGGTAAATGCACCAACTCCGAAACAAATCACTACTTTTTCATTCAACAGATACTCAATAAGCACCTACTACGTCTCAAACATTTGTAGGACAATATTAAAGACACAAGGATTTTTTCAAACACCATAAGAAATTATTTCATATACCTGGCATTAACGCACAAAGGAACAAATATGAAAGGCATTCCATTTGGGGAATAAACTTTTAAAAGAGGTACACTATCTTTAAAATTGTGAGTGAGGGGCTGGAGAGGTGGCTCAGAGGTTAAGAGCCCTGGCTGCTCTTGCAGATGACTGGGGTTCAATTCCTAGCACCCACATGGCAGCTAGCAACTGTCCGTAACTCCAGTTCCAGGGGAATACAATGCCTTCTTCTGACCCCCACAGGCAATGCATGACACGTGGGTGTATTTACATGCATACAGGCAGTACATAAAATAAAAACAATAAATAAAATTGTTTTAAATTGTGAATGACTTAGTCGTTCACAGATACACTATTTCTTTAAGAATTGAGAAGGGTAACTTAGGAGCAGAATTTAAAAGCAAGGGTTCTGACACCATTTGGAAGTAGATAACTTCCAGGTATTTTGAAGATCTTGCTCTTTTTAATTCAAGGCATTTTTACTTCCTGTCAGTCCCTTGCTTTTTGTAAGACTTAATTCTTGTCCACTGTGGTTCTGTACACAGTGTGCATCCAGAATTTCGCGGGGTGAGGGGTGTCAGAGTCAGCAACGGGGCATTTACTAGAACTCCATGACTCCATGACTCCTAAGTAGCTAAGCATCCAGCTTACTTGATTAATAACTATATTTTGTTGTTGTTTTGGAAGTGCTGGGGATTGAACCCGGGGTCTCACATATTCTAGGCAAAAGAACTCTACCTCTGAACTATACCCTGAGCCCCAACTAACTTTACTTTTTAGTAAGCTATTTTTTCCCACACTACATACACATAAATACACATGTTCAGAACCATCAATTGACATAATCCAGTGAAATAATCCTGAACTTTCAATGCTTTAAATCCTAAAGACAAGACACACTGAGTTTTGTTACAACAGACGCACAGCTAAGTAATTCTAATCCAAGAAAGGACATGATGAGGGTATTCCAGGGCTACTTACAATGTACCTTTCGGGGAGAAAGAGGAATTAGAGTAACCCAGAGCCCCTCTTTGACACGCTCAACTGACAGGCTAACAGATGGCCCAAGCTGGAAGCATAAAACTAGAGGTCACCCATGGCAAACACTTAAACAAAGGAAAAGTTGAAACTGTGATTAAAAATGCTATCTGGCTAGGTGTACTAGCATACACCTTTAATCTCAGAACTCCAGAAGCAGAGGCAGGTGAGTATCTGTGAGTCTGAAAGCAAGCTCCAGGCAGGCCAGAGCTACACTGTGAGACCCTATCTCAAAACAAAAACAAGGGGCTGGAGAGATGGCTCAGGAGTTAAGAGGACTTGCTGTTCTTGTAGAGGACCCAGGTTTGGTTCCCAGTACCCACGTGGTGGTTCACGGCTGTCAGTCACTCTCATTCTAGGAATCTGACATCCTCTTCTGGCTTCCTCAGGCACCAGGCACACGGAACAATCTCCCTTGTATCGAAAGAATGTGAAAACACACACATGCACACACACACACACACACACACACACACACACACAACACACACATAATCTGACCCTCTCTCAAGTTAATAATTGTATCTTTCAGGTCATAAAGAAACTAGCTTCAGATCTTAAATACACAGCTTAAATTGTAGAAGTTTTTCCTTTGTCTTTAAACACAATTCAAATAATACTTGCCAAAGAAAAAAATGGGATGAGATTTTACACAATCAAAAGAAAAATTAGCCATTAAAAAGAATGAAACCATTTCCGAGCTCTGAAACTCATTCTTTTTAGTGGGAAGAAAAAAGACTTTCTGGAATCTTGAAGAATACAAGGAACTATTACCCTTCCACCAAAGCTGTCACCAAGGTCAATCTCACTTCCAAACATTGTCTGAAATATTCTAAGATTGCAGGGTGTGGTGGTACACGCCTTTAATCTCAGGAGAAACAGGAGGATCTCTATAAATTAGAGACTAGCCCAGTGCACATAGGAGTTCCAGGTCAGCCAGAGCTAAATAGTGAGATCCTGTCTCAAAAAATTAACTAATTAGTTATTCTAAGATACTAAAGACACCATGTTTCAGTTTATAGCATGTTTCTGGTCACATATTTCTAATGGAAAAACAGAAGTTTCCTTTCTAGGTTCATGCCTCATTAATGTTAATAATTTAAGACACAAGTAGACAGGACACATGCCCTTTATACTTCCAAAGTAATAAACTTTGCTCTTCCCAAAATGAAGAACACAGTGTTGAACCTGTAGAGCCCCATAGCTTGGGGGTCCCCTCGACATATTAGCAACACCTCAGAATCAACATAATTCCATCTACCACAGCCATTTATTTTCAACCTTGTTCTGTATTTTTTAGAAGAAACATAAATGAGTAAAAAGCATAGTAAATCAAGAATTAAGTTATCTAAGCTAATACCTGTTACACTTCTTCCCATTTGGAAAGCTAATTCAATTTCTCTAAGTTTGGGATTCCTATAGCCAACAATTTCCTTCTATACAAATTCACCAGTTGACTGTGAGAAAAACGAAGAGGGGTCATATAGCTCAGGGATAGAGTGAGTCTCATGCACAAAGCTGGGTTCAATCCACAGCATCAATAAAACAAAGCAAACAAAAAAAGTGAATTTAGTCATTAAAGTATTAAAGTATTAATCCTGGTATAGGTGAATTATGTGTCTCAAAAGAAAGTTGAAACATACCAACACTTTCCTGTTTGAAAGAATGTCTAGGAAAGTGTTCAACTGTAAATTGTGAATGCATTTTTTTAAAAAATCACATTCCTGGGCCAGCAAGATGGCTTAGCGGGTTGAGGGCACATGCCTTTGACCCTGACAACCTAAGTTTGACCCCAGGAGCTCACATAGTGGAAAGAATCAACTCCTGCAAGCTGAACTCTGACCTCCATATGCACACCATGGCATGTACATGTGTACACACGTACACGCACACACACATGCATACATACAAATTAACTGATTTTTAAAAACTACTTTTCCAGTATGCACAGAACCTGGTGATTAAAGATACAAAAGAGGTACTGTAAAGCACTCTAAGGAAAAAGATAAAAGAGAAATATTTTCAGGGCCATTTCTCTCCTTGTTCCGTGATTTTTGCTGGGTATTGGGGGGGGGGTGAAGGTGTTATTTGATTTGATACAATTTGGAGTTTTGTTTCTTATTTAAGACGTTTTACGGATGGGACCATCAACTGTTAGGGCCACAGAAATATAAAGATCTCAGTCTAGCACCTATGCAGAAAATTCCAGTTGTTTAACTTTTTTTTTTTTTTTTTTTTTTTGGTCTTTTTGAGACAGGGTCACCCTGTAGCCCCAGCTGTCCTGAAACTCACTATGTAGACCAGGCTGGCCTTGAACTCACAGAGATTTGCCTGCCTCTGCCACCCAAGTGCTGGATTAAAGGCATGCACTGCCACGCCCGGCAGCTTAACTCTTTTGAAGAAAAGTAATTTACACATGGAGAGTTATAGCAGAAATCACATAAATATGTTGTTGTCTAATATTTTTCTGATTATGACCTGTTCCTCCTGGCTGAAAAATCAGCATATGAAAAATGTCTTTATTTCATTGGGTCTTTTCTTTGTAATGGCTAACTTTTTTTTTTTTCTGCCAAAACCATTATTATAGATTTTGCCATTGGTACAGTAAAAAAGGAAACCCAGTCTCCATTTTTCCCCAAGCTCACTTAACCTGATGATTTACTTGGCTTCAGGCCTCAGTATCTTCACCTTCAAAAGAAGTATGGAAGGACCCTGAGTACTTGGTTCAACGGCAGAGTTTGTGCCTAGCATGTGCAAGGCTCTGGGTTCACTCTTCAGCATCCCAACAACAAAAGAAAGCAAAGAAAGTGGAATGCTGGCTTAAATATGTTACCAGTTACCTCTACCTCCAAACACTCTATTTCTTTATAATTTAGAAAAACAGAGAGCTAGAGAGATAGCTCAGCAGTTAAGAACACTGCGGTTCTTGGCAGAAGACCAGGCTCAAATCCCAGCACCCAAATGGCAGCTAACAACTGTCTGAAACTCTGGTTCCAGGGGATCTGATGCCCTCTTCTGACCTCCTCTGGCATTGCACAACACAGGTGTACTTACATGCAGGCAATAGACGAACACACATAAAACACACATAAAATTAATCAATTAAAAAAAAAAAGCAGGGGTGTTGTCACATGCCTTTAATCTCAGCACTCGGGAGGCAGAGGCAGGAGAATCTCTATGAGACTGAGGCCAGCCTGGACTCCATAGAGAGTCCAGGCCAGATAGGACTATAGGGCGGCCCTGCCTCAAAAAGACCAAAAAGAAAAGAAAAAATTCTAAGAAAAATAACTGATCCTGTATTAATACCATATGGACTAGTGAAAAACTGGAAACAGGATTTCTAAGACACAAAAATGTATCAAAATTTCATTAAGCAGAGTCCACAGAACAAACAAGCCAGGCCTCATGGCTCATGTCTTTAATCCCAGCACTAGGGAGGCAGAGGCAGGTGGATCTCTGTGAGTTCAAGGCCAGCCTGGTCAACATAGAGAGTTCTAGGCCAGCTGTGGCTACAGGAAGACCTTGTCTCAAAACAAAAACAAAAACAAACAAAAAAAACCCCACAAGATTACAGAATCTAGAATCTATCATGTCTCTACCACAGCAAGAAACCCTGGAGACATGTTTTACCATTCAGCAATGTTCCTGTCCACACAGCATTCAGAGAACTTGAAGTAAAAGGTATTACGCCCAACCTAACTCCTGCAGATCTAAAGATCACACACCACCAGGAATTTCATCTCTATTTAGATATCTGACACCAGAAGCCATAACTAGTACAGTGTGCAGTGCATGTCACCAAAAAGACACCTGAACTTTAATTCTTACAACTCAGCTAGCTCCAGGGACAAGGAGGTTCTTCATTAAACAGAACTCAAAATTCTCACCCTTACAAATTTCCTGAGAGCTCACAGAAAGGTTGTATCTAAAGCTGGTGGCTTCAGAAGGATAAAAAAAATATGAGACTCAGCCAGGCATGGTGGCACACATCTTTGATCCCAGCAATCAGGAGGCGTGGATCTCTGTGAATTCAAGGCCAGCCTGGTCTACATACTGAGTTCCAGGGCTACAGGGAGACCCTGTCTCAAAAAAAACCAAAAAGAAAGATTTATTCTCAGAATTATGTGGATCTCTGTGAGTTCAAGGCCAGCCTGGTCTACATACTGAGTTCCAGGGCTACAGAGAGACCCTGTCTCAAAAAAAACAAAAAGAAAGATTTATTCTCAGAATTATATGTGTGTGTGTGTGTATGTATGCATATGTTTATATATTCTACATTTTACACTATGTAGAATTTAAAAGAAAAAAAGTTGAACTAAAAAAGCTTTCCTTATCTAACAACCCTTATTTAAGTAACTACATTCAAAATGATCCAGAAGCTACTTCTAAAAGAAAAAACTGGGAGTCAGAGGAAAGAAGGAACCACTCTCTAGTCTCATGAGAGGTCTTCATTCACTTCCATTAGGGTTTAACAAAAAGGTACAAACAACTTCTAATACTCTCCTGGGTACTTCTTACTCAAAAAAATGTGTTCTCTGCCCTTATTTGAGCCCATTATATGACATGTATTCAATCTGTCAATGAACTTGGAATCTGACACACAAGGTCAAAAACACAAATGAATTGAAGAAATTCAATTAATCTATGAAGAGCAGGACAAGTTTATCTAAAGGTGGGGGGAGGGGGTAAAAAGGGCCACTGACACTTCCCATGTTCCACCAGCGTCCACAGGCCACATTACAAAGCTCCCAGTATTCAGGGATTTGAGTGGGATTTTAACCCATCCGCACTCCTTGCCAAAACACACACTCACTTAGCCTAACACAATGTCCATCTGTTAGACTGCTGGTGTAGCAACTGAATCCAACAGCACACGGAAGTAGTGTCCGGTAAAGAGTGCAACGTGTCGGTCAGCTGAGGAGTTTCTGGAGCGTCAGCAACTACAGCGCATCACCAATACCCCAACATGTGGGCCAAAAACTGCGTTGGGAGCCAAAGGGTGCCTTTTACTTTTACTCGCCACCACCTTGCCTTCTTCGTCTTCTTCTTTTTTTTAATCTGTAAAGGGGAGGAGTCGGAAATAGATTTGCTAACAGGTCCACTCCAGGACAGATAAGGAACTCTTGGCAACTGGACGTCCCTTGAGATAGGATGCTACTTTGAAAGCAAAAGGAGTTAAGTTTCATTCTCTGTTGCCTCACTTCCCTGGCACTCGGCAGAGTCGCTGGTGGCTCCCAGAAAAGGCAACCTGCGCTCCAATTCCTTAGCCCCATTCTTAAGAATCACAGGCTCCTTCAGGGTTAGCAAATAAGAAAATTCTGCAAAAGCCTCAAAGAGCACACTGGGCTGGGCGGGAGAGGCAGGCGCTCGCGGGGCAGCCAGGGTCGCCGCTCCTGCGGGACGCTCACTGCTGCTGAGTTCCGAAGTGGAGCCCGGCGCGGTGCAGCCGGCCGAAGTGCGGCACTTACCCCCGTTCACTCCCACGGACGGCTCGAGCTTAGCGGCGCCGATAGCCAGCACTATCCCGATCATGAACCATTCCTTCCTCATCCTCTCCAGCGGCCTCATCTCTGTTACGGTGGGTGGGTTTTGTTTATTTGTTTGGCTTGCTCGCTTTCCGAGCTACGATCTTTTAGTTCCCGAGGCGTCTCCACACTTTCCTCGGTCCCTCCAGACATGCAGCGGAGCAAGTCAAATTGCCACTACTAAACTAAAGACCGGAGGGTTGGCTCGGGCGGCTCCGAGGAGGGCTGGGAGTAGTAGTATCCAGTGACAGGAGAGCCTCACTGAGCGCCGCCATCATTACCACGCGCCTCAGAATAGACGCGCACTCCGCCATGGCCCCTCCGGCCGAACATGCCCAGGCGCAGAGAATCTGGAACGGAGATGTGCCATGCGGCAAGCGCAGGCGGCTCGGGAAGGTGAGCCGGCCACCAGGTTGGACTAGCAGAACCCGCTTCCATCCAGACGCGGCCAAGTTTCGGGAGGACCCGGGCGGGGAAGCGTGATGAAGCGCCCCAGACACCCAGCATCGAGTGTTGCGGCGATGAACATATAGTCCCCGCGGCCCGCAGTCCCGCAGCATGCATGCAACGAGAACCTCTCTCCTGCTGCACCCTGCGCCCGAGAGACCGGCCGGCGTGCGGCGGACCGGGACGGGGATTTCTCGGTTGGAACTGCGCAGGCGGGGCGCCGGCGGTTCCTACTGCGCGTATCGTCGGGGCATTACGGTGCTTCCCGACGTCGCGTTGACGTTGCGCGGGGGGAGGGGAGGCCACTCGCGGCCTCTGGTTCTCGGCGGGAGCAGCGGAGGTAGACGCGTGTGGCGATCGGCGCGGGAAAGCGGCTTCCTACTTGGGGAAGCGTTAGCCCCAGGGGTAGGTTGAAAATCGGTGGCCGAGCAGACGTCCAGGTTGGCCGGACCCCCACCTTCCTGCATCCGCTGCTGCGGCGGGAAGGCGGGGAAGGCGGGCCGGGCCTTCCCGCCAGGTCGGTGGCCTGCCCGGGCCTTTCCACCCGGCCGCCTCCCCAGCCAAAGCCCGCCTCCGGGAATGGGGAGGACCGCCTGGATGGGGGCAATCTTCCCTGGGGGGTGGTGAGTGAGTGATCCAGGCTCCTCCCCACCCCTGTGCTACCCGTGGGCGGGCGATTCAGAAGGCCGCGTGGTGCGTGCGGGCCTTAGCCTGACCCCAGAGCTCACCGACTAGAGCCACAGGACAACGGAAGGGGGGCCTAGGGCCCCAGAGCAAAAGCGGTGAGGGACGAGACTGAGGGTGGAGCTCCCGATGTCGGTCCCCCAGTTTCTTGCATTGCTTTCTGGCGACCTATGACATAGTTTCATGAATGGGCTTCCGTGCATCAAGTCTTCCTCTTTATGCTCCCGAAGAAAGAAAGAAACAAAGTATTGTGGGACATTTTGAAGGAGCCTGGCATCTGCTCTTTGAATGATTTACTATGGAACCTAAGGTTGGAAAGAGATTGTTTGGTGATGCCAGACTTTTAATTCTAACGCATTCAAAGCTTGAAAGAGACTCATCATGCAATTTCCTCTATTTAGCTTTATCTTGATGGCATGACTTGCTGTGCAAACACTAAGCTGCTTTAAGCAGTCATGCTATCTGTTGTAGGTTGTACAGACCCACTACCATGTAATTAAACACCAGCAGCGTGAAGAAAAGTTAATCTCTAAATTGAAAGCACTTAATAGGGAGACATTAAACAATTTACCAGGCAAAGAGAAGCACATGAAATGTGATAAAAGCTGATGCCTATCATAAGGTAGTCACAAGGTAAGTGGGATTGTAGGCAATAAAATTTTCAACGTCATTTTTCCTATAATTCCTAGGTTAAAAAAATCTACCTCAGTCATAGAACACTTTTGTATTAAAAGGTCATTACAGATAGCAAGCTGGCTTAACTTTGCTCAGAAATTATTATTGAAGATTTTTGATCTGTTTAGAGAATAATTCATAGAAAGGTATTTTTAATGGTACTTAAAAAGAATATAGTACATTGTGAATTGTATTTTATCAAGGACTGTATCTTATTTGCCAGGGCTATATAATAAATGCCCCCAAACTGGATGCGTTCAAACAATAGAAATTTGTGTTTTTATGGTTAAGAGAGGAACAAAGTCAAGGTGTTGGAGGGTTAGCTACCCTCCCAAGGCACTAGAGGGTAGTCCTGCCTTGCCTCTTCCAGTTTCTGGTGGCTGTTAGTATTTCCTGGCTTCCTAGATTAAAGGTTCCAGTATTCCAGTCTCTGCATCCATCTTCAGTATTATCTTTCTTTTGTATGTATCTTACAAAAATGCTTGTCATTGGATTTAGCTCCTACCCAGATAATCCAGAATGACTGCTCAGATTCCTTAGCTCAATTACACGTGCATATATCTTTCTCCAAATTAAGTAACTGTTGAATGGTGTCTCCTATAAGATTAATGTCTGAAAACCTCAGAATTTTGACTTTAGTTAGAAATCAGATCTTTCCAGATAAAATTAGCTAAGATGAGGTCATACTAGATTAAGGCAGGTCCTAAATCCAGTGACTCCTGTCCTTTTAAGAATATTATATGAAGGTATGAAAGAGAGACACATGGAGGAGAGCACCCTGTGAAGGTGGGGGAAGAGACTAGTTTGAGATATCTGAAAGCTGAGGCATTGTAAGGGTTGCTGACAATCACCCAAAGCTAGGAGGGAGGCATGGAACAGATTTTCATTCAGTGCTTTCAATAGAAACAAATCCTGCAGAAGCCTTACCTTCATACTTAAAAACTTCCTGAACTACAAGAAAATTGGTTGCAAGCCCTCTCAGCCCCCAGTTTATAAGTGCACTGTTACAGCAGCCCCAGGAAACTAATTCAATAATATTCACAGGTGCTCGTGTGCAGTAGTCCTAGCAGCTTTTCTGTTCTGTTCTGAGACCCAGCAGCTGTCACCGGTGCTGAGCTACTTGGAAGGCCCAGTTGGCGAGCTCATAGGAGCTTGAGATCTTCAATACCTACGACTCTTAACAGCTGGAAGAAAAGATGGTTGAAGCAGATCGCCCAGGGAAGCTCTTCATTGGTGGGCTGAATACAGAAACAAATGAGAAAGCCCTTGAAGCAGTATTTGGCAAGTATGGACGAATAGTAGAAATACTTTTGATGAAAGATCGAGAAACCAACAAATCAAGAGGATTTGCTTTTGTCACCTTCGAAAGCCCAGCAGATGCTAAAGATGCAGCCAGAGATATGAATGGCAAGTCCTTGGATGGAAAAGCCATCAAGGTGGAGCAGGCCACCAAACCATCCTTTGAAAGTGGTCGCCGCGGACCACCTCCACCTCCAAGAAGCAGAGGCCCTCCCAGAGGTCTTAGAGGAGGAAGTGGAGGAGCTAGGGGACCCCCTTCGCGTGGAGGATACATGGATGATGGTGGCTATTCCATGAACTTTAACATGAGTTCTTCCAGAGGGCCGCTTCCAGTAAAAAGGGGACCACCACCACGAAGCGGGGGTCCTCCTCCTAAAAGATCGACGCCTTCAGGACCAGTTCGCAGCAGCAGTGGGATGGGTGGAAGAGCTCCTGTATCACGTGGAAGAGATAGTTACGGAGGCCCACCACGAAGGGAGCCCCTGCCTTCTCGTAGAGATGTTTATTTGTCTCCAAGAGATGATGGCTATTCGACGAAAGACAGCTATTCCAGCAGAGATTACCCAAGCTCTCGTGATACCAGAGATTATGCACCACCACCAAGAGATTATACTTACCGTGATTACAGCCATTCCAGTTCACGTGATGACTATCCATCCAGAGGCTATGGTGATAGAGATGGCTATGGTCGGGATCGTGACTATTCAGATCATCCAAGTGGAGGCTCCTACAGAGATTCGTATGAGAGTTACGGTAATTCACGTAGTGCTCCACCCACACGAGGGCCACCGCCATCTTACGGTGGAAGCAGTCGCTATGATGATTACAGCAGCTCACGGGATGGATATGGCGGAAGTCGAGACAGTTACTCCAGCAGCCGAAGTGATCTCTACTCAAGTGGCCGTGATCGCGTTGGCAGACAAGAACGAGGGCTTCCCCCTTCTATGGAAAGAGGGTACCCTCCTCCACGTGATTCCTACAGCAGTTCAAGCCGTGGAGCACCAAGAGGTGGTGGCCGTGGAGGAAGCCGATCTGATAGAGGGGGAGGCAGAAGCAGATACTAGAAACAAAAGATGGAAACTTCCGTCAAAACCACCCAAGGACTACTAAGAGAAAAATTGTGTTACCTTTTTAAATTTTTCTGTTTAAGTTCCCCTTCATAATTTTTGTGTTCTTGTGAGGAAAAAAGTAAAACATGTTTAATTTTGATATTACAAATTGCTTTCAACAAGCAAATGTTAAATGTGTAAGGCTTGACTTGTACTAGTGTTGTAATTTTCCAAGTAAAGTGTCCCTAAAGGCAATTTCCTGTCTTGATTTTTTTTTTTTTTTTCCTGTTTTTCCCCTCCAGTAAATGAGCAGTTCTGAGATGGTCCACCAACATCTAGCCATCTAGATGCTCTTCGGTCTCTATGGAGAAATGAATTGGCCTCCTTGTATAGACATGCTAGATTGTAAAGGGTGGTTGGTGGTTGCTCCTCTTGGGATTTCAGGGTCATCCAACTTTAAGTCTCAGTGTTCACAATATGAAAAACCTGAGATCGGGTCCTAGGAAAAAGCAAAAGCGAATGGGTAAGGCCTGCTGTGTTTAGCTTTTATGACATTTCTTTGCAAATCTTCAAGAACCTCCCTTTTCCTTCCCCCAATATAAGTGGGTTTTTTAACTTATTTATTTGTACCTGTGTGTGTTTATGTGCACCATGTACATGCAGGTGCCATGGAAGCCAGGAGAGGGAATCTGATCCCTTAGAACTGGTTACCGGCAATTTCTATGGATTTGGTGTAATTTTATGCATCAAACTATAAGACCCGTTTTTACCTTCTCTTTCTCACATTAGTTTTTCCAAAAACTCTCAATCTCTTACTTTTTTTGGGTACAGGATGTCACTGTGTAGCCCAGGCTGGCCTCAAATTCTCACTGATCCTCCCACCTCAGCCTCCCCAGGACTGAGATTAAGGTATGTACTCCAGGCTGCCATTTTTTTTCTTCCACATCTTCACATTTCTGTTGCTGCAGCTCACTAAAAGGCATGATAAATTGTTGACTAAATAAATTCTTTTTATGTTGCTATATCAAAATGCCTGGAGATATAGCCCAGTTTGTAGAGTGCTTGCCTAGCACACGTGAGGCCCTGGGTTTAATCACCAGCACCATGTAAACCCCAGCACTTAGGAGGTGGAGGCAAGAGGGTCAGAAGTTCAAAGCCAGCCTCAGCTACATGAGACCGTGTCTCGAAAAAAAATACAAACAAAATACCTGAGATGAGTACTTTTTTGAAAATCTGTCTCATGGGTCTGGGGAGTAGGAAGTCCAAGAGCATGGTTCCAGCATCTGGTCAGGGCCTCATGCTTCATCGTAACATGATGGAGTCACTTCAAACAAAACAGATGTGTTAGTTGGGGTCTTAGAGACTCTGGCCATGGCCATTACTTGGGCCTAGTAACCTCCCAAAGGT